GAGAAAGACTTTCGCTTGATTGGCAGTTAGCATTTTGCCTGGCAGGAGCGATGGTGGGTCTGCCCGACGGCTCAAATGGGACGCGGGGGAGAAGTGAAATTAAACGAGAAGGGCATGTGAACAGGCTAGAAAGGCTTGTTTTCTGGCTGAAGGGGAACTACTGGAGACGATTGGTGCCTGTTGATCGAAGAAATGGGAGACCAAACGGGGAATAGCCTTCCAATCGCCTTGAAACAACTGGTAATGTCTGGGCATTGATAGGACCTGCTGCGAGTTGTACTCCGGAGGCGTTACGGCGTCTATTCGAGGGAAGAGTTTTACGGCTTCGAGAGTAGGGGGAGGGGGGACGGGAAGGGAAGCTGAGTTTCCGTGGCGGTGAGGAAAGCGCTGAGTCTTTTCCGCGATCGGGGAACTGGCTTTAAGACTCTGGGGACTTCCTCGGGCTGCTCAGCTGTCGCAAATACCTCCTTTCTTCTCCCCCTGGACTTAGCGTTGCTCTCGTGGGAGATCCGCTGCCATGTGGCTGTTCTTTCTCTCTACGGACGGTCATAATAAAGAGTGGGGAAGGTTAACATAAGCCTGAAAAGCAACCAGGGAGGAAGGGTCAAGCTCGTCAGTTTTCTTCCGTGTCAAGTTGTACGGCTAAAATCTCTCGAGCGGATTGCAGGAAACTTGGAAGTTACATTTCTTCCCGTTTAAAGTAGGATTCTCCCCTCCCCTCCCCTCCCCCTTGGCACCGGCTGCGATTTGTTTAGTTCCGCCACTTTTGCTTCCCCCATTTTGGTTTGAGACTGTGACAGCCACGTGGCCGGCAAAGCCTTGCGCAGGGAGAGGCGGCCATGGGGTCACACGGGCGGCTGTGGGAGCGTGTGGCTGTGTGTAAGCAGCTCAACACAAAGCCAGGCACACAGAGTAGAGCTCCTCCTCCTCCTCCAGGGGAGCTTAAGAACGCCCCCCCCCCCTTCATGCAATCTCTGCAAGATTGCATGGACCCCTCCTTCCTCTGTGCCGCTTTTCTTTGCTTCCGGCTGCTAAAAAAAAAAAAATGCAAACTCTTTATTGATAAAACTGAATGGAAGGGCAGGAAACAAACTTGCACCCGTTTCGTTTTGATTGTGCAAAGGGGTAGAGAGAATAGCAATCTCCCCTTGAAAATTGTTAAGTGCCCAATTGCAAACATATTTGAAATATTTATAAAATACATCCTCAGTTTTAAACACACTTAAACCCCATCTCTGTATGTATGAAACAGAGAACTTAGTGAAACAATGGTCTACTATTGTTCTTTTCTAATAGCCCTGAACACGAATGGAGAAAACAATCTACTGCAAGCCATCTGAAGCCATTTCTACAAATTGGAGGTTGTTGCATTGTTATCTAGAAGATGCGAGTACTTTTCCCTCTTCCACAAAGATTTTATTTTGCAGATAAATGGCATGTATCTACTCTTTTGAAATACATGTTATGTTAAAGTACAATATTCCTTTTAATTTATTAGCACAATTTATGTGCTGTTCAACCAAAATAAGGTTCTAAGCAGTTTACCATTTACTTAGTTGTGTTTATTTTTTACTGTATCTGTGATGAAAAAATTGCAGCATTTTGTAGAGATCAGTTATTTAGAATTAGAAAAAACAGTTGTGAATTTTTGACATATTTTTAATGTGCCCCCTCACAGCCATTAATTACCATATTAAACCATTAATTTTCATATCTGATGTACTGAAATACAGTAATCTCAAAAAGCAATTGCGCCCGAGAATTTTGGTATTATATTTGCTCAGGTGCAAAGGGCACCAAATGGGAAGAAGGCTGAACTAGTCTACACCCTAAATACACAGCATTAATTTTCTTTACTGAGTAGTGAGAAGCTGGGAAAATGACTTCCCAGTATTGAAATATGGAATGTACTTCTAAAGCAGTGTACTTGGTGCCACTATTTAGGAAGATGGGAAAAACCTTGTTCACTAAATTTTTAACAACTGTTCATAATGATAGGTTTTAATTTTGGCTTTAACTGCATTTTGTTATGATGTTCACTATTATTATTGAAAGCCATCTTGAACTTTGGAATAAGCAACATTTTCCAGTTCAGCTACTAAATATAAGTACTCACTTTTGTAAGAATTTGGTTACTTACTAAGCTTCTCAACTTCCAGAAGGAAAAAAAGGTTGTATAATTCATAAATTCTTTCTTTCATTACAGATTATTAGATGATGTTCTTTTCAGCTGGCTTGCATTATGTCACTTATGAATGAGGGTTTCTCTATAACGTTTATCATATTGTCTAACAGCAACTATAACAGTGGTTGTTTCCATCCCATTGTACTATCTGACTGCCATGGTTGTAATAATAAATAATGAATATTAATGGCAATCTTTAAAGGAAAAGTTGTCATTTGCTGCAAACTGAGTTTATATCAAAATGATGGCATCTATGCAATGACTCTATAGGGCATACTCCACCTTATATACCTGTGTCCTGATTTCTAATGTCATTTGTGTCATGGCTGCATGTTTTATCATCCTTTCTCCCCCGTCCCCCGTGGTTTGATGTTGGTAAACTACAATTCTCCAATCATAGTTGACAGGCCCTGTTTGAATCTTAGTGCTTTACCAGTGCTAATATGGAAAAAGTTCCTTGAAGATAAAAAGTTTTAAAATCACATGGGCAAATGACTTAAGTAACAGTAATTTTGTAGATAATATCCAAAAAGCTTTTTGCACAGTGCTGTATGCATCCATTCAAGTGTGTTCCATTGAATTCAGAAAAGCAATTAAGTATGCATAGGACTGCACATCCAAACTGTTTTGAATCATAAAAATGTATAATCTTCAAAGGGAACAAAAATCCCTGTTGTAACTAGGGAAATGAACAATTGTGTAGCACAGGCAATGGGTTTTTAATAAGTACTAGAATTTGGAGCATGGGAAATGCCAGGAGAGCAATCATGACTTTGTATTGGAGTTTTTCTTACCTTTATACATTACATTGTCCAATATTTCAACTCCCATCTAGACACAAAAGTAATTTGGCAGGCAGTTTCCTCACATTGTCTTTATATGTTTGATGTGTATGAACCTGTAATTCTGAACTGCTTACATTACTGTTTCTAGTATCTTGACAAGATCTTTTGCATTTTCACAATCAACTTGATCTTTCCCTAAAAGTGAGATATTTTATTAGGCAAAATAACATTGTTTTTCTTCTAAGCCTCATGAAGAAAATCTGAATAAACTATATAATAGCAGAGCTGTACATAGTTGGGCAAAAAATATTTAAGTTTCAGAGAGCCAATACAATTTTCTAATAGCCAAGTATCTATTCTGCTTGCTCATTGTGGAATATAGGCAGAACTATTTTTCATTCCATGTTGAAACTGAGGGAATCAAGCATCTGGTTGGCTGTAATACAGTAGACAGTTGTAAACCAGTCTTAACTTATCCTATGTTATGTTATATCTTGAATCAAAGTCCATACCTGCTACATAAAGTTAATTACCCTGTGTAATTGTTCCTTTTTTAATCTGAAACAAAATATGGTATGGTCCACCCTCAGAGCTATTTGGCTTTGCTTGTAGGGCCTCAAAGAGTTGCAGTGATTTGCTGTATAGCAGGGATGTCAAACTTAATTTCATTGAGGGCCACATCAGGGTTGTGTTTGATCTCAGGGGCCGGGCTTGGCGTGCTCAGTGTGGGCATGGCCAGTTCTATGTCATTCGTGTCAGGGGTGCCTGTGGTCACCCGAGCACCCTGCCAGCGAAACCGGGCTTCTGAGCTCTATTTGCAGCTGTGGCGGCCTCCTGCAACCCTCTGCCAGCGAAACCAGAGCTTGGGAGGGTCTCGCATGTGTCCCTCCCAAGCTCCGTTTTTTCTGGCAGAGGCACCGCGGCCTGGTCCTTTGCTATTTCCAGAGCGGCCCTGTGGGCCAGATCTAACCCCTCCGCAGGCCAGATCTGACCCATGGGACTTGAATTTGACACCCCTGCTCTATAGCAAATTAAATGGACATAAGGTTTTTGGAATTATTCTTATCTAGTTGGATAAGAGGTTGGAAATGGGGAAAAGTTGCTCACGGTCATTATTTTTGTTTCCCTCTTTGCATTTTAGGACTATTAGAGTATAGTTGCATACTACAGAGTTCACTGTTTGTTAGGTTTGATATTATACAGGGAGCTCTCATGGAAGTAGAAGTCATCGGACATTTCCCTGGATTATAAAGACTGGGGAGAGTGTTTTCCTCTTTATGTGCAGAACTATAACCACATAGGGCTGTAAGTGACCATCTCTGAGGATGAACAATGATTTTCTAATTTGTTTGGCATGCTGATCAAAACACCATGCTGACTTTTTGCTACGGATAAATCTTTATTTGTTACATTTATTTGCTGCCTATCACTGGGGCTACTATGTCTATAAAATCTCAAAACCAGAATAATTAGCACCACAAAATCAAAGAGTTGGAAGGGACTATTGGCCATTGGATTCAGTCCTCTAACTTGTGGGCATTTTGAGATGTATGTTCTCTTGTACATCTTTTGGACAACTTGTATCTATTTATTTTGTAAATCTTGTACATTTGAATCTCAGAAAAAAAATTCCCCAAACCAGCAATCATGTTAATTTTGTATTTATCATATTTGCATGCTGTCAACTCCCAGCCTGTCTGGTTGGTTGCTTTTGTGCTGCCTTCTGGGAAATGGGTGCATTGTGACAAAACAGTCATTTTGTGGGAGCATTTACAGCATAATCGGAAAATTACAGATATATATGTCAGTCCAAAAACACTATTCCTACTCTATGCTCAGCCACTACTGAGATGGGATGGTTATAGGCATTCTTGGAGTTTTTTCAGGCTTCACAGAGTTTTTCCAAATAGAGCTATGGCTTTGCAAGTCAAGTTGTATGTGTATTTTGGTTCTTCATGCTCATGCATTTGCTCTATCCATTCCAGTAGATGTTTGCATATACAGCAAAGCAAAATCATCACAAATTACTGCCTGTCTGTGGTTATACATTTTATCAAACAAATGATGCTATGTGTGTTGGCAGAAGGACACATTTATAGTCAGGCTCAATAGTTGTCCAAAAATAGAATATACTATTTTCTTCCAAGTTTTGCTAGAATTTGAGCCTGATATTCTGAAAAGTTACAGCTGGTGGGATGAATGGAAATGTTCAGTTGCGTATATAAAAAAAACAGATTTATGCTATTGAAAGATACTTAATTTAACATTTTAATTGGTAATGTCATTAGTTTGGCCCATGATTTATGTTAATGTTTCAGGAACTAGAAATGTTTAGGTGTTGATTCACTTGAGCCTTTAAAATCAACTGGAAACACTATTTTTTCCTTGTTATTTTCCTGCTGAAAATCACTTAATGAAAAAAAAATCACATATTGTGCATACCCATGGCTTATTGAAAAATTGGATGAACTAATTCTTAGCCCAGTGGGACTACTTTTAACTCTAGCTGTTAATTTTGACATTGAAATAATTAATTTTGATGCAGCTTTTTCCAAATTTCCACTCAGACCCTGTCTCCACTATAGAGTGTTATCTGCCCATTCTTGAATTAGCAGGAAAGAAAAACTGATTGCCCCCTTCAGCTCTGCTACCTCACTTTCATCCAGCATAATGCATAACAAAGCATTTTAAGTTTCATATAACTTGGAATTATCTTCAGATGGTGTGGGAAGAAGAAGGAAATTTCCTTGCTGGTGTGGGAAGAAGAAGGAAATTTCCAGATGTATACAGGTAGGTTTCGATTTATGACCACAGTGGAGCCCAACATTTCTGTGGGTTAAGTGAGGCATTTGTCAAGTGAATTTTGCCCAATTTTATGACCTTTCTTGTCATGTTTGTTAAGTGAATCACTTCTGTTGTTAATTTAGTAACAGGGTTATTAAGTGAGTCTCCTTTCCCTGTTGACTTGGCTTATGAAAGGTTGCAAAAGCTGATCACATAACCCTGAGACACTGCAGCTGTCATCATATGAGTCAATTGCCAAGCCTCTTAATTTTGATCACATGACTACGGGGATGCTGCAGTGGTTGTGTGAAGAACAGTCGCAACTGAAAAACATTCATTCCCAGTTAGCTAGCTTCTTTGCTAACAGCATTATACTTCCAAGACTATTTTTCATAGTTGGTTTTGCAACACTCCTTTTTTTTAAATTGCTAAATACGGTTTACAACAAAAGATGGGTACATAGAAGCACATACAAGCCATTTTACAAAATGGACCAGCCACCTGATGCTTATGGAGAAAAGGCTGACTGTTGACATGTCTCATTAATAATGCAAATGGCAAAGCTGAGTGCATATCCTGGATGCGTTTAAAATTTTAAGACCAATTT